AGCCACGGTCAGATAGGAAAACATTCAGGATCTGGATCAGTCTTATGCGACAATGGAAACTGAACTAAAGAGAACATTTGAAACTTTAGCAGTCTGCGTGATCTGCCTGCAGGGAGGGGCGGGCCGGCCCTGCGAGTAAAGTAACGAGTTACTTTATGTAGAGAGTAACAAAGTAGTGTCATATATTACTTTTTTAAAAAGTAATATATAATATATTACATTTTTTTAGTAACGACCCCATCTCTGGTCTTTACTAACAGATAAGAAATACTTGACTTCAACTAATGGTATTGTTGGATTATCCAGGAATCTTCCACGGTTGAATAACATAAAATATCAAAAAGATAACTGAAATGGAAATAAGAGTGTTAAAAACAAACCTCTCCTCCCTTTTCGGAACTCCACATCTAGAAATCATTCTCGGGCCAATAGTTGTTAATGTTTTGTTGAGCAGATAGACTGACAAACAAACCAATGAACAGCATCACAGCATTGTTGAGGCAGTTCGCCTCACATTCACCATCACTGGTCACTTTGTTTAACCTGACAACCTGTAGGCTCCTATCAGCGTCACTGCTGGATGCCCTGTGTATAATATATATACACACACACACACACACACACATATATATGTTCAAAGAACCTTGAACCTTGAAATATATATATATATATATATGCACTTATAGAGGGGACCTTTTTTTGAATATAATCTTTTAAGAAGCTCACTTCTTCACATTATTGTGGTGAGCACATCATTGCTGGGAGGATGTATTAATGTAATTCCCCCTAGACTAAAATAAATGTTTGTATTTATGCACAGATAAAACAGACAATGTTATGTTGTGTTAATGGGTGAGTTTTTGAAGTGTGGACTAGTCTATCCATGTCCTCACTAGTGCTGTGACTTCAAAATATCGTCGACGACATATTTCCGCGTCGACGCGTCGCTACACACACGTGGGTCACCCAAAGCAACAAGCAGTTCGCAATCGCACTTCAAACACAATGGAAACTGAAACGGCTACCACCTCCTCCTCACAGGATTGCGCACGAAGCCCCCAAACGAAAACATCTCGCCCTAGGTCTTCAAAAGCATGGGAATATTTTAAAGTTAGTCCAAAACGCAAAGATATTTATATATGTATATCTCACTGAGACTGCTGCAGAAGCAGCAGCTAGCTGTGGTGGCTACCATTAGCAGCTAGCATTTGCTCTCCGATTTTTTACATAAAATTGAATTATGGATTATAAATTCAATCATTTTTTTATACATAGACGTTAAGAACCTATGGATTAACCGATTCAGCCGCGTTTTTTCTCATTTTATTGCCATTGAACACGTCTTTTGATCAGATTACGGTGGTGAGACGATCTCCCTAGAAGCTCTGTGAAGGTACGTGTTGTGATGACTGTATTTGCTTCCCCTGTCGCGAGTCCGGATCACTCAGTGATGATACTATATACCTACATAATCTGTGGAGTCTCAGCTTTAATCGGATATATTGTATGTGCAGCTACGATAAGTAATAAGGGTACTTTTATCTTGAGTTCTGTGCCAATGTCCGTTAGCATTTTTCGCTCAGGGGTCATTTAGATGCTTCTTATGAGACTTGTGTTTTGTTTTGGTAAACATGGTTTGTATCGTCAATTAGCTGAGATTATTTCCGTTAATCTGGTATAACACATTAATAGGTTCTTAAATATTAAGATCCCCTGAGACACAGTATCGTGAAACAATTTTTTTTTACATTACGTTTTTTATGAATTGAACAACAGAAAAATAATCGTTAGATTAGTCGACTAATCGATCAAATAATCGCCCGATTAATCGGTTTTCAAAATAATCGTTTCCCCCCAGCACTAGTCCTCACGAACTGTCCCTGGCCCTCAGAGGGACAGAGATCTGTGTCAGCTCTAACCTGGGGGAGTCAGTATTACCATCAGAGCCACATATGATTTATGTTCAAGTTAAACTTAAAATAAATGTATTGGTGCATTGTTATAACTTGATTTTCAAAATGTTCACAATTTCACATGTTTGCAAAATCACAAGATTATTTAAACTATTCTGATAAATTGCAAAACTCTACATCTGACTCAAAAAAAGGAGCAACTCTCCAAAAGGAATTCCTTTATTCTAAAACGTATTGTTCAGGTAAGAGGTGCTCGGCAGCATTGTAAAGCTAACACAATGTGTACATGAAGGGCTTAACACAAGCCCCTTTCAGATGTATTGACATTTGAGGAATATAATCACAATATCAACATCACATTATCACTTCCTTTGATTGACTAACACTGAATAACAGCTTGTGCTCTTCCTCTCACACTCTCTTCTACTCTGTCATTTCTCTGCTTTTCTCTCTTGAACTCTTTTTCCTTCCTTCCATTTCATTTCCCTCCTCTCCGCCTTTTCTTCATTATGTATCCACTGAACTGTGGTAGGTGTTGGCTGTGGCTTTAAATGGAGAAACTGGTGGCATTGACAAAAATACACTCTCCAACTCACACACTCATATATACACACACACACACACACACACACACACACACACACACCTGTTTCAGGCTAAATTGATTAGGCAGATTTATGACGGCTGCTGGCTCCCCTTGTGTGTTATGAAGGTTTTTATGCATGTAAACAGTGTGCAAAACCCAAGTACACCCTGTAGCGCAGGGATCACCAACTACATTTGTCCAAGGGCCAAAATGTATCCAATAGACACTATCGCGGGCCAGCGATTTTTATATAGTCCAGAATTTTGAAGTTGTGGACCGGGGGGGGGGGGGGGGGGGGGTATTGAGTGTTCTGTAATCAGTTACTAAATACTGAATACATGGCTCTGAAAGTAATCAGAATACAGTTACAGTTACGTGTCTTAAACGTTGGAATCGGGTCTACTTTAACGTATTCAGATTACTTTTAGAATACTTTTGGAATACTTTCTTTTTCCATAACAGATGGGTATGTTTTGGTGAACAGGAGACACGTATTTTACTGTTTTAATGGCTTATCAAGAACTCAAACACAACATCTTGGTGTCATTCTGGACAGCTCCCTCTCATCTGCACCACACATAAAAAACACCACCCGGACTGCATTCTTTGTACTGTCTTAAAACCTTTCCTTAGAATATGTTATGAATTGTAAGGTGTCCTTGGGTGCTTTGAAAGGCGCCCCTAAATAGAATGAATTATCATTATTATTTATTATCTGAAATGATGTTATAACTTTTAAAACTTTTTCCAGTCACTTGCCCAGGCATTCAGCAGCAGCAGGCCATTCACTTTGATTTGATCCCGTTATGAAATGTCATCATTTCGACAATAAAGAAATGCTTCATAAACGTTATCTTGCACATTTTATCTAACCATCTCCGTTTCTAACTTTCAATATATTTTAAAAGAGATCTCTCTCATCTGCGTGCGGGGGCGGGGCCTCACAGACGCGCTGCATCTCTCTCTCGTTCACAGACATGCTGCAGCGCCGTGCAGTGTGCACACAGTTCTGCCGGTAATGAATATTACATTTTGTGAGGAAACTTTTCCACCAATAATTCCAATAAGTATTCCAAAATGTATTCACTTCAGGTTTACGAAAGTAACTGTAATCAGATTACTCGTTTTTCAAATGTAACGCCAGCTGAATACAGTTAGCCTACTTGATTGTTGTATTCTGATTACGTAACGCCGTTACATGTATTCCGTTACAACCCAACCCTGCTTCTAGGCTACTGTCCCGCAGCTCCTGCCTCTCTGTTGGACTCTGTCGCTGCGGGGCTGCTGCTGTGGTGCGGAGCGCACAAAGCAGACTCTTCACAACGAAGGATCACTTCTTCTTCAAGGCAGGGAAGGTTTTGCAGTACGCAGTCTACTGTCCCGCAGCTGCTGCCCCGCAGCTGCTGCCTCTCTGTTGGACTCCGGTACTGCACACAGTGGTTACTGCGAACGCAGTAACCACGCCGCAGTCACCCCCGTCGTGCGGGCCGGATGAGAATGTCTGGCGGGCCGGATGTGGCCCGCGGGCCGCCAGTTGGTGGTCACTGCTGTAGCGAGTAAAACTCTAACACAGAAAATACCTCCCCAAAACGCCTCGTTGAAGATACGTCATTGTCCATTGTTTACTTCCTGGGTATTGTGACGTAGGAATGGCCAGTTGCCTCGCCCAGAGCTATGACGCGATACGGTCATGCGTTACCCGGAACCAAATGGACCAATCCGTGGAGCCGTTACGTTATGCCCCCGCTAATTGGTCCAAATTGACCAATCCACGGACTTCCTCACACACACACACACAGTGCAGGCAGCTCTGCTGATCTCTCCTCCCTGGCTGCAGGCTGATCACAGACAGTTGGGATCGCGGCGAAATTCTCTCTGCAGACCCATTCTCTCTGCAGACCCATTCTCACAGCGTTTATCAACCTTTTTCTTACTCAATATCAAGCCACACTTATTGTTTTTACTTCGGCTGTGACTTTGTGTGTGTTCAGGATGAGTTTGGCTGTGTTTCGCTGTGTATCGCTAAACAAGGAAACCACACCTCCACGGAGCTCAGCGCGATTCACAACGTCCCGACCAATCAGAGCACACTGTGCTCACAGGGAGGGTGGGGCTGGAGCTATTGGAGCTACAACGAGCCGTTAAAGGCAGAGAGTGAAATTCAGTGAATACACATACTTTACATAGATGCTGTTTGAGAAACCAATGTGAGTTTGGAACATTGCGCAATATAAATCTATTCTAGTAGACCTCAACAATGGAATTATGATCAGTGGAAATGGCCATGACATGGGACCTTTAAGTTGACTGATTTATGTGAGGGGGCCAGTGTCACACTACACACACAGTGCTGGACCCTTACTCCCAGTCCTCCTTGTTAGGCGTCCCTGTCAGGCAGCCCCCCCCCCCCCCCCCCCCCCCATCATACCTGTTTAATAATATTCCTCATTCTGATTTGTGTTTTTCCCTTTCTCCCCCTTTTCCCTCTCCTCCCTCCCCAGACTCACCCTGCTGCCAGCAAGCTGCCCCTGAAGGACAGCTTCACGTTTGATGACTACAGGTCAGTGTGTTTAGAAGTGTGTGTGCAGAATGAGTCTGTTTCTACATGGTCTTATCATTGACTATATCTTCATGTGTTTCTACAAATCTGTCGCTGTGAAGAATATAACATGGGTATTTTATTCATAGGTTTGGCCATCATTCCTATTGGTCATAACAAAAAAGAAGTCAAACTTTTTTCGAAGAGAAACTGACCGCAAACAGTAAAATATAAACGTCATATTATTCTCTGTATTTGTGTACACTCAGAGGGATCACTACTGACATGTCCCATATGAAGTCTTACTCCAAAATCAGGATTAAGTTTAGGATGATGATCTTAGTGACAGATTTAGATTTTGATTGCTCATGGTATAATTCATTTCTTAAAAGGGCCTACAATCTTCAGGCAGTAAACACAACTGATAACACAACCTGCTTGCTAAAGCATAGTACACCACTTTTGATTTCAAAAGATAACCGCAATCATATGGAAACATGTTAGTCTTCTTACTGTCAAAGATGAATGAAATAAAAGGATACTTTAAATTGTACATGTGGACGTCTTTGGAACAGTTTACAACTAACGGATTCAAATTCCTGCGGTACGATGTCCTTTAGTGTTCCATCAACGTAGTGCAGATCATTTCATTTCGCATTCGCATTTTGCTCCTGTGGGTAATGTCCGCAGTAATGACTCTTACATGTCTAATATGTGTAATGTGTACTTGTAAAGCGCTTTGAGCACCTGTAAAAGCGCTCTAATAACAATTTTTAATGCATTATTATTATTATTATTTAAAATGTTGATTCTTAATTGAATGATTTCCCCCCCGCTCCATGTTTATATAAACTGCCTCCACTGTAAGCTTGACTCAGATTTCCACAGTCTCTCCTCCTTCCTGCTTTTCTCTTCCACTTGTTTTGCTACTTCTCCATTGTGTTCACTCTCCACTCTCCTTCCATCCTCCCTCCTTTTCTCTCCATCTTCATCTGATGCAAGGCTTCTCTGTTTGACAATACCAATGTTGACCTTTAACACTGACTGTTGATGTGTGTGCAGGTGGGCGGTGTCTTCAGTGATGACACGGCAGAACCAGATCCCCACTGAGGACGGGGGCCGCATCACTCTGGCCCTCATCCCCCTGTGGGACATGTGTAACCACACCAATGGACTGGTAACGTCTTCATCTCACACTTCCATACATCAGTGTTGTTTTAAATAACAGCAACATGTTTTCACTGAGCGCTGGTAAAGGTTGAATGAGTAAAAGTTGATGTTGATCTTCAGATCACCACCGGATACAACCTTGAGGATGACCGCTGTGAATGTGTGGCCCTACAGGACTACAAAGAGAACGAACAGGTGAACACACTGCAACATATGAGACTGATTGGTCATGGGAATGCAATCATGCAATTGTTTATTTGTTAATGTTTGTAAAAGTTAACACACAGTGCTGAGCTGCATTTCAAGTTAATCTTCAGGTTCCCAGCTTTCAGATGATGTATTTCACTTGTAAGTGGCATATTTTAAAAGTATTTCAGAGGGATGCAGCTGCATTTTAAGAGCTCTTAAAATGACTAAGATATTGGGACCCTTCCTCACCTGACCTAAACCCTTCCTCACCTGACCTAAACCCTTCCTCACCTGACCTAAACCCTTCCTCACCTGATCTTAACCCTTCCTCACCTGACCTAAACCCTTCCTCACCTGACCTAAACCCTTCCTCACCTGACCTTAACCCTTCCTCACCTGACCTAAACCTCACCTGACCTAAACCCTTCCTCACCTGACCTAAACCCTTCCTCATCTGACCTAAACCCTTCCTCACCTGACCTAAACCCTTCCTCACCTGACCTTAACCCTTCCTCACCTGACCTAAACCCTTCCTCACCTGACATTAACCCTTCCTCACCTGACCTAAACCCTTCCTCACCTGACCTAAACCCTTCCTGACCTAAACCCTTCCTCACCTGACCTAAACCCTTCCTCACCTGACCTAAACCCTTCCTCACCTGACCTAAACCCTTCCTCATCTGACCTTAACCCTTCCTCACCTGACCTTAACCCTTCCTCACCTGACCTAAACCATTCCTCACCTGACCTTAACCCTTCCTCACCTGACCTAAACCCTTTCTCACCTGACCTAAACCCTTCCTCATCTGACCTTAACCCTTCCTCACCTGACCTAAACCTCACCTAACCTAAACCCTTCCTCATCTGACCTTAACCCTTCCTCACCTGACCTAAACCCTTCCTCACCTTAACCCTTCCTCACCTGACCTTAACCCTTCCTCACCTGACCTTAACCCTTCCTCACCTGACCTAAACCCTTCCTCACCTGACCTAAACCCTTCCTCACCTGACCTTAACCCTTCCTCACCTGACCTAAACCTCACCTGACCTAAACCTCACCTGACCTAAACCCTTCCTCACCTGACCTAAACCCTTCCTCACCTGACCTTAACCCTTCCTCATCTGACCTTAACCCTTCCTCATCTGACCTAAACCTCACCTGACCTTAACCCTTCCTCATCTGACCTAAACCTCACCTGACCTAAACCCTTCCTCATCTGACCTAAACCTCACCTGACCTTAACCCTTCCTCACCTGACCTTAACCCTTCCTCACCTGACCTTAACCCTTCCTCACCTGACCTAAACCCTTCCTCACCTGACCTTAACCCTTCCTCACCTGACCTAAACCCTTCCTTACCTTAACCCTTCCTCACCTGACCTAAACCCTTCCTCACCTGACCTAAACCCTTCGTCACCTGACCTTAACCTCACCTGACCTAAACCATACCTGACCTAAACCATTCCTCACCTGACCTTAACCCTTCCTCACCTGACCTAAACCCTTCCTCACCTGACCTAAACCCTTCCTCATCTGACCTTAACCCTTCCTCACCTGACCTAAACCTCACCTGACCTAAACCCTTCCTCATCTGACCTTAACCCTTCCTCACCTGACCTAAACCCTTCCTCACCTGACCTAAACCCTTCCTCACCTGACCTAAACCTCACCTAAACCCTTCCTCACCTGACCTAAACCCTTCCTCACCTGACCTTAACCCTTCCTCACCTGACCTAAACCCTTCCTCACCTTAACCCTTCCTCACCTGACCTTAACCCTTCCTCACCTGACCTTAACCCTTCCTCACCTGACCTAAACCCTTCCTCACCTGACCTTAACCCTTCCTCACCTGACCCCTAAACCCCTTCCTCACCTGACCTTAACCCTTCCTCACCTGACCTTTAACCCTTCCTCACCTGACCTAAACCCTTCCTCACCTGACCTTAACCCTTCCTCACCTGACCCTAAACCCTTCCTTCACCTGACCTTAACCCTTCCTCACCTGACCTTAACCCTTCCTCACCTGACCTTAACCCTTCCTCACCTGACCTAAACCTCACCTGACCTAAACCCTTCCTCACCTGACCTAAATCTCACCTGACCTAAACCCTTCCTCACCTGACCTAAACCCTTCCTCATCTGACCTTAACCCTTCCTCATCTGACCTTAACCCTTCCTCATCTGACCTAAACCTCACCTGACCTTAACCCTTCCTCATCTGACCTAAACCTCATCTGACCTAAACCCTTCCTCATCTGACCTAAACCTCACCTGACCTAAACCCTTCCTCACCTGACCGTAACCCTTCCTCACCTGACCTTAACCTTTCCTCACCTGACCTAAACCCTTCCTCACCTGACCTTAACCCTTCCTCACCTGACCTAAACCCTTCCTTACCTTAACCCTTCCTCACCTGACCTAAACCCTTCCTCACCTGACCTAAACCCTTCGTCACCTGACCTTAACCTCACCTGACCTAAACCATACCTGACCTAAACCATTCCTCACCTGACCTTAACCCTTCCTCACCTGACCTAAACCCTTCCTCACCTGACCTAAACCCTTCCTCATCTGACCTTAACCCTTCCTCACCTGACCTAAACCTCACCTGACCTAAACCCTTCCTCATCTGACCTTAACCCTTCCTCACCTGACCTAAACCTCACCTGACCTAAACCTCACCTGACCTAAACCCTTCCTCATCTGACCTAAACCCTTCCTCACCTGACCTAAACCCTTCCTCATCGGACCTAAACCCTTCCTCACCTGACCTAAACCCTTCCTCACCTGACCTAAACCTCACCTAAACCCTTCCTCACCTGTCCTAAACCCTTCCTCATCTGACCTAAACCCTTCCTCATCTGACCTAAACCCTTCCTCACCTGACCTAAACCCTTCCTCACCTGACCTAAACCCTTCCTCACCTGACCTAAACCCTATAGAGAACTGGTGGGCCCTTCTTAAACTGGAGATTGACGTTAAAGGAAGACAGTACCCCTCTCTTAACAGAGTCTGGGAGGCTGTGGTGGAAACTGACAGACTCCATCAATGGAAAGCTTGTGACTGTTATTGAAGAGAAGGGGGGCTGGCTATATTGGTATCTTGTCTTTTTGTTACGTTATACATGTTTATCTGTACATTTTGAGTTGTATGTTTATTATTCTCACTTTCACAGAGGAACATAAACCAGTGAAATGGGAAAATGTTCGTTTTTCCTTTAGTTGCATAGTAATTCTGCAGACTAATAGTTGCCCAATAATTGTGCACACATAGATATTCTCCTAAGAAAGCCAAAACCTCACTTTTACTTTCCTATATATTCAGGTGTGAGGTTTATTAACATGTTGGACTGACCCAGAGTACTGTAGTTCAATAATAAAGTTATAAGTTAGAAAAATGTCATGTAAGTACATTTTGGTTGATAATTGAATAGGATTTCAGAAAAAACATCACAGCTCTCCATAGGGTTTCATTATTATGTTACTAAGAGTGTTGCAGGCCATTTTCCATTATACTTTTATAATTTGCTGCGGGCCAATAAAAAATGGCCCCCGGGCCAGAGGTTAAACTGACCACCAAATGTCGGACATTGTTATATGAGAGACATTCACTAACAACTTAAACATGTTATGTCTTACAGTGCTTTCATGATCATTTCTGACATTTGTATTAGCCAAATACATTAAGAACAATCTAAACAGATAGAGAGGGATGAAACCCTCTTTAATGGTCACACATGCAGAGCACACAGCACACACAGTGAAATGTGTTCTCTGCTTTAACCCATCCTAGTACCAGGAGCAGTGAGCAGCTATTGCACAGCGCCCGGGGAGCATGGGAGTGGGGGAAGGGGGATGTCCGGTGCCTTGCTCAAGGGCACCACGGCAGGGCAGCAGGAGAACTGGGACCTCGCCAAGTAGCAGTCCACACTCATATACACATATTTAGGTCTGGTCGGGGACTTGAACCGGTGACCCTACGGCTCACATTCCAAGCCCCTACTGACTGAGCCACTGCCAGACAAGATGATGAAGGTGTTAATGCCTATGATTCACTGTTTCTATAGATCTACATCTTCTATGGCACGAGATCAAATGCCGAGTTTGTCATCCACAATGGCTTCTTCTTTCAAGACAACGCCCACGACCGAGTGAAGATCAAGCTGGGCGTCAGTAAGAGCGAGCGACTGTACGCCATGAAGGCCGAGGTGCTGGCCCGAGCTGGTATTCCTGCGTAAGTCCCTCTTTTCTCTCTACTCTTTCACAGAGTACTTCCTGAAGCTCCCGATGTGGTTCCAGCAGAGCTTCAGGATCATGTCAGACTCCATGCACCTCTCAGCTGGGTGCTCTTTGTCTCCCAACTGTAGATATTTTCATCCAGAAACACATTATATAAATGTTGCAGGAGAATTCTCCCCCCCCTCATCCAGCCAAGTATCAATTTACCATCCGCCCCAACACTTTCATCACCAAGAAGCTTAATCAGTTTATCATTAGCCCCTTAATATGCTGCATTCTCTGCCCGACATTTTTAATCAGACTCCTTTTAATCTCTTATTGATGACAGTCTAAACCTTAACAGTGAAAATTAAATGAAACGGTCCCTGTTGTTGCCACGGCGTTCCATTAAACTGACAGATATGCTCGTAGATCATTTTCAAAGGAAGCAGCAGCAGATTGAGTGTTGGGCCTGAGAGATGTTGAGCGGCTGCTATCAGCACACTGCTCGCACTCTGAAATCACTGCTGTGCTCTACTTCATTCCTGCCTGATAAGTGGAAATAAGTGAGTACAATTTACTTTAAATTAGCAAATTTGTAATAAGCCCTTTTTCCTAAGTCTTCAAAAACACACAGCATAATAGACCACAGCATTTCCTACAAAGAGTTTTCTTCCTTGAGCTGGTGCTGTTTGCTGGAGCGGTGGCCAGAGCAATAATTGAATAAGTTGGGGAGGCAGCTCTAATGTGTTTGTGAGTATAATAATGTAACCCTGTGCTACCGATCACCACATCAATCACTTTGCTGGAATAAGGGGAAATATTGTCCCTTTCCAAATAACCTCAGAGTAATGTTATGATGGTGAATGGATTTAGCTGAGTCCTAGATCATACACTACCTCTCTGCTGACTTTCAGAATCCTGAGGAATACTTCCATAGTAACATTAATATATGTTTAGAGACAAAAGAAAGACTGCAGTTGAATGTGATTCTGTCAGGTCCTGACTCCAATTCTGGAAATGTGCATGCATGGAACGCCATCCCAGAATGTTTCTTTAACATATGTGAGTAGATAGATAGGTAGTACTTTTATTGATCCCAAATTTGGAAATTGTTGTGTTGCTGCAGTGTGTTCAGGTATTAAAATATGTTAAAGGTGGATTAAAGTATAGACATAATAAAATAGAAAATAAACAGCAAATATAAACAAATCTACAGTAGAAAAGGCATATATCACAAGTAATGCACAATATCAAATATTCCTGATAAAGATGTATACTACTGAAGCAGAGACATGTATACATGATAAAAGTAGTATTATAACCGAATCAGTCGTGTTCCATGTGTAAGTAATCTCCATTTCTTATTCTATGCGTTTATTGATCTGTCATTCATATTTTGTTTTGTTTGTTGTTTACAGATCTTGTGTCTTTGCAGTGCACTGTAATGAACCCCCGATATCAGCCCAGCTCCTTGCCTTCCTAAGAGTCTTCTGCATGACAGAGCGTAAGAAACACACACACACATATACACACACACACACACCAGCAGGACGTTCCCTGTGGAACCTGGAAGCCACAAAGTCTCTGCCACTTCTCGGAGACGGTCGTCGAGTGACTGCTTCCTCCGTACATCAGTGGAGAGGGAGAGGCGGAGAGGGGGTGGAGGAAAAGGGAAGAGCAAGGCCTGTCCATTCCTCGGCAGGTTAATTGATCAAGGCAGGCCACCAGATGTGTGAAGGGAGCGATCCACCACAGGATTTACAATATTCATCAGCATGTATGCACAATGGCACCGGTGTCATAAATCCCAGACCACACCAGGGCTCTGTCACGGGACACATCTTCAGGATTACGCTTATATATTATTCACTCTTTAGCTGCATGTTCATTTTTTTAATGGCCCCAGTGCCTTGTGTGTGTCCTAACAGATGTGACATGATGGAATAGTGTGCACATACAGCCGGGGAAGAACAGCTTCTTTCACCTTCCCCATGTAACACTTGTGTTTCAGTGTGTAGATCAGAGGCAGCAGAGAAGACGCTCAATGATTTTAGATGACACGCATAACTGCTGTTCTCCACCAACATTCTGCTCCAACTCTGCTAGAAGGTCAGGAATTCCTGCCTTAGCAACCTTTTGACACAAAAAGAAGTCATAGTTTTATAAATTGTCGGCACATTCTAATGTTCTTCAGTGTCTGATGAGATGATTACTATGTTTCTTTCCATGTGTCCAAAACTAAGACAGTTAGGTCCAGGTATGGAGAGAACATTAACGCAAAAAGCTAAATGTTTAATGTTAGCCCTTATTAGACCCTCCAGAAAAACACAATTCTGCGATCGCAGAATTTACCGCATAATCAGCAAAATGGCGCAGATTTTTAAAAGGCCGCATATTTATCAAAAGGCCGCATAATCCCTGCATTTTTCCACACAAAGTTGAGAGAAAAAAAGTGAACTCGTCTTGACGTGAAGTGATGATGATGATGACGCGAAGTCATCAGCTCGCGCATCACAGAAGGTAAACAACACAGTAGAGTGAACGTGTGGAGCTCACACGAGAGAGAAAACACCAAGATGAAAAAATCTAATCCATCTCATTTACCGACGAACATTTCTGCTAAAGACCGGGCAAAGCAGTTCCCCGATGTCTTGCACGAAAGTGGGGGGAAACTATTCTGCACCCCGTGCAACTGTGTGTTGGAGCATAAGAGCACATCGACGGTGACGACCCACTTTGATTCATTCAAACATTCGAAAATGCTTTCTGCTGCTGCGGACAAGAAAGCCAAACAACTCACGTTCACCGAGGCATCAACCTCCAAAACCCTTTCGAGGGCTACAAGAAACGTGGTGAGAAGCCTACAAGATTGAAGCTGGTCAGATAACGAACAAGTAAATGAAAACATAATGAGGCGGAGAAGTGTGTGTGTGTGTGTGTGTGTGTGTGTGTGTGTGTGTGTGTGTGTGTGTGTGTGTGTGTGTGTGTGTGTGTGTGTGTGTGTGTGTGTGTGTGTGTGTGTGTGTGTGTGTGTGTGTGTGTGTGTGTGTGTGTGTGTGTGTGTGTGTGTGTGTGTGTGTGTGTGTGTGTGTGTGAAAAAAAAATAGCCCAATTGCTTTTACAATAAATAAACATTGAATGTGTTTAATTGAATAGTAAAGGGGTTTAACGTTAGTGGCAGGTTGTGTGTGAGAGAGAATAAATAAATAAGACAGCCCAATATTTATTTTTTCCGCATATTTCGCAACTTTCCGCATATTTCGCAATTTCACCGCATAAAATCACATAAAACCCTGCATGTTTGATCGCATAATCAAGGATTTTTGCCCGCGTTTTTCTGGAGGGTCTACCTTATATAGTAAGCCGGTCCATTCTCCTGCATGTGTTTGATATTTGAACCGGAGCAAACAGTCAACACCCACTACAAAGTGAAAGCCTACAACCTGCATGTTTTCCATGTTGCCATTAGAGATGTTGGATGAGAGATTAGTTAGCAAAAGAGTTAAGCATTTATTGGTTATATTTTTTACTTTGAATCAGATCCAAATGGGATCCAACCATCTGTCCCAGCCCTTGAGGTATTACTTCACAAATTATTCACAAAAATACAAGAAGCAGGGGAAGCCAGCATCTCCTTTTGAAATGTGATACAATTTAATAAAACAAAAAATTTGGATTCATTTGAAAGTGTACTGTTCCTTTTTCCTAAAAAATGTTTAAGAGGAAATACGAGGTGCATTGATTCTTAGAACTATTTATAATCTTCATCCTATGGCTTCTTGTTGATAGAGATCATGCTGCTGCCAGTCTTAGTGTTGACTCCAAAGTAACTGGAGCTTTGTTATTGACTGCGTTTTGGTATTATTATTTCCTTTTTTCTAAAACTATTTTAAATCGGTGTTGTTGGACATCCGGCTTCATACCAGGTCTAATTAGTTTGAAGGTAAATATCTGCGTGCCAGTTTTGGTTGTGTTTTCATTGGTCTGGTTTGGAATCATGTCGAAACGTCTACTCTGACTACTCACACATTTCCACTAACACATGGCTTGACTGATTTGTTTATGGGAAGAAGCAACTATCTGCGTTCTTCTCCACATCTTACACACAAGTTAGCTTTTATAGCCCGAGAATCGCCTTCACTATTTTTCTCTAGTGATTTTGCTTTGGTTTCTTTCACCAGCCTCGACAGCAGTACTGTTATAGTTTTGAGTTTGTGATTCTGTGTATCATCAAGAAGACAGAAGTGTACCACAGAGGAGCTTTAGAGAACTCTGCCAGCTGTTTATATTTCTCTCTGTCAGCCTCAAGACAAATTACCATCATAGCAACACTGCAAGACGCAGTCACAAAAACGTTCAGATCAAATGTAGGCTGAGTTTGAAACTTGATATGGTCCGAGCATGGGGGGGCCACAAGAATATTGTCTCCTGCTCAACCTCCTCATTTTATGCCCATGGCTGCATTTACTTCAGAAAACGTTATAGATGTGCAGGTGAGATCAGAACACTTTTATTCTCTCTGGTTTCAGAGGAACTAAAGGATTACCTGCTCGGAGACGGTGCCGTCAATAAGATCTTCACCCTGGGCAACAGCGAGTTCCCTGTCAGCTGGGAGAACGAGATCAAGATGTGGACTTTCCTGGAGACCAGGGCTGCTCTCCTGCTCAAGACCTACAAGACCACCTCACAGGTCAGTGGACTTGTGTCTAAGTCTTGTTAAAAGCTGTCATAGACGAGGTGTCAAGGGTTCAAGTATGCTTCAAACCAAATGGATTGTCCGACGGCTCAAAACAGCGATACCTCTGAATGGCCACTGACAAGTTAGGTAGAATGATGATTCTGCCCCCACATCCTGAGGTCATAAAGATTTGGCGGGAGCTTTTACGAAGGTCCGACAAGCACTTAGGAAGTGAATATTTGAAGTTAAAAAAGAAATGTTTACCGTCCTATGATGTATTGTCATCTTCACATTCTTCTTTCTTCCCCTTTTCCTTATTACCTCCTGGTCGTGTCTCCTCTAGGAGGACAGCTCCATGCTTGAGAAAGCAGATCTATCCCTCAATTCTCGCGTGGCCGTCCAGCTCAGCTTGGCTGAAAAGCAGATCCTGGAGAAGGCTTCGGCCAGTGGACGGGCCAAGCGTTTGCACTTTGAGAAGAAGCTAGAGGAGGGAGCTCCGTTGCCTCGATATGAGGAAAGCGATATCGCTTTGCTGGAGAATTCTGACGCAGATTCAAAGCTTCCGATCATTCTACGAAAGTTGGAGGAGGTAGAAGAAGGCCAGGAGATCCAAGTGGAGGAGCACAGTCACTTCCTGAACGGGGACAAGGCTGCCGCTGGTTTTGATCAAGAGGCTAATGGTGGGCTGACACTGGAGGGGATCAGTGGAGATGTTGATTCAGCTTTGGACTCAATTGGAAGTTCAACCCAGAAGGGCCAAAAGGAGGTAGCAAACCTAAGTGCTAGTTGAACTGATGATAGTCCCAAAAAACAACTGTGAATAAATGTATTTCACTTACTGCCACAGCCCATGCTATTTATAATTTTTTTGTGTCTCTTAAATGACTCTGAAATATTAAAGCTGAAAAAATGCAAAGCTGCAGAACTTTTCAGATTGCACGTTCATCCAGCGAGGCTTTTCTTCGTTTTTTTAAATGCTGCCGGTGTGTCCCTGTGTGCAGAACAGCTTGTGACTAGTGTTAGACCTGCACACATGAAGCAAGTGAAGGATGGACACCACAAACTGGTTCCAGCACATTGTTAGGTGAGAGAAAATAATAAAAGGAGTTAGGTGAATGTTATTTCCACAAAGCCAAAATGTCTAATCTTCTCAATTGGTTGGTTTATTACTGCAGTTTGTCTCCATAAATGTCCTGTATGCTTTGATTTGACAATCGTTTTCTCCAGGGCTTTTTGTGCTACTGAGTTAAGACCATCACTGCCCTCTGCTCCTTTTATCCTGCTTAAAATAATTTCAAGCAAAACATACATGCATATGTCTCTCTGAGAACAATTGTTTGAATTGATGGTAGTTGTTATGGTATGATATGCCAAAATGGAAGATGGTTTTTGCTTGATTTCTTCTTTTTTTTTTTATCAAAATGTTAATTTCAGTAATTATGTAGTTTCAGTATTCAAGAATTTTATTTTATTTTGTGTTTTTAAGAAGTTTCTTTATGTGTGTACTTGGTGTATGTTGCAGTGATGATCTGCTGATGTCACCAGAAGGGACTCACTGAGACAGCAGAGGACAGATTATAGAGTTCTCCTGTTGAAAGATTTTAGTTTGACTGCCATAAAATGAGGCAATTTCTACATGAAAAACTTTGTATGAAAGACACGGACGCACTCCGTCAGTAGATGATGTCTCTCTGTAGTTGGTGTTATCTGCAGGGATGGCCCCAACAACTCAGTGCACTGAAACAAAGATAATAACTTACTAATGGCGCATTTCCACTGCAGGGCCTTGCACGGTTAGTACGGTATAGTTAGGCCTTGGTAGGCCAGGCTCACTTTATGCTGCGTTTCCATTACAGTTTAGGAACTGGGGTAGTAACTATAGTAACGTAGTGTAGGTGGAGCTGTGACGTCATCTTCAATGCGAACCACAAAACCAACATCAGCCGTTAGCTCTTAGCACTCAGAGCTCACAGCTCCTCATATCTGTTCAGAAACTAGACAAAAGTTAAACAAGTACAAACCACAGACTGCCTGTGTCATGGCGAATACAGTCGCTGGTTTATTTATGTCTGTATAGGCCGTTGTTATGAGTGGACGGTCGGAACAAATGCTGCGTTAGCTTAGCCGATCTCCATTCAGAAAACAGGCATTTTAAAAGGGTTTTTCGCCTGCCGTCTGTCTGCAGACTTGTCAAAGCATTAATTCATGGGTTTTACTAACCGGTATCAGTATGTTGTTACTTCGGCATAATTTAGAAACGTATATTACAATTAAATCACGGTCAAATATGTTCATCTTGTAGCCACTCACGTCACTAGTTTAGCATTCAGCCCGGTTGTTGGCCCAGAAAGAACCACGATTTTGGAGGGCCAGAAAAACTGTGAAAAAGTACCCGTTAGCCGGAACTACCCCTAGTGGAAACGCAACAAAAAACGGGTCGGGTTTGGCACGGCACGCTTAAACCGTACTACACGCTGCAGTGGTTTTGGCCATTCTTACCAGTTGAAAACCAGAAAACACGAGACTCATGTAGGCTGATGCAGATTAGCAGGGGACTGACTTATGGAAGCAAATAAGAGACAATGATTTGAATGTTATCAGCCACCAAATTTATATAATTGAAATGTTTTACTTTGAAAACCATGTATCTGAATTTTTTTGTTCCAAATTTACGTGAAATAAAAATCTGAAATATCTTGGTACTTAATTTCCAAAACTGAATTTCAATGTAATTTATTCAGATCTCAAAATTCAAGTTCAAAATGTAATACAAAAATATATTCAGGTTGCTCAAATTCGATTGATGAAATTCAAGTAAAGACAAATTTGAATGGTCAAATTTGGTGCTTCGAATTCGACATCTAAAATGTTGAGGGCGCAACATCCGGGCTACCCGGACAGGATAGAGGCAATCGATCCTGAATGCAATCAAACCGACTTCTGGCCTATCGGAGCCAAGCGGCAAACTCCGGGGCAGTGCCAGGAAGCCCATGCGGAAATTCTGCAAACTGTAGGCTCCGTTCTCATAATTGAGTATTTATGGCCCTGTAGCACTGTCAAACAGAATAAATATTTAAAATGTAATTCCTCCTTTCACCGCATGGCAGCAGCACCCGCTCTAAGGGGCCGTTCTCATGCCGCTGTTGAAGACGCTGTATTTTTGTCTTGGGTGGATCCGCAGTAAAGCCCTGAGCGGACTGAACAATTTATGTTGAATATTTTAGATTATGTCAGACCTGAATCAGACTAGCACCCACTTTATTAAAAATAGGTCAAACCCGCTACAAAGTTAGGGTATTCCATGTTATCTGACTCTCCAGATATGAATGAAAGGCAGTGTTTTTATTTATACTGCCTTTGGAAAATAAAGATAATTGTGACAATGAAAATTATTATATAACAGCGTATTTGTATGTTATTTGTATGTTTAAATTTTTTTCAGAATGGACAATGGCCCCCAGGCATATTCACTTTATCAAATCCGGCACTCTGAAAAATGTTTGGACACCCGTGCCGTGCCTTATAGAGTGCCACAGTCCTAAAACGCAGAAGTAAGCTCTATCGATCATAAATCTATCGATTAGATTTATGATTCGATAGTATGGTATGGTAGACATGTGGAGATTATCTGACTGAACAAAACGTGATCCGTCTCTTAAATGTGTGTGTCAACCGACCTTATTTTGAGCTAATTTCCAAAATCCTATGGAGAAATTGCATTGCTTTTTTGTCGAGGGAACCGGAAGAAGTTTACTTCCGGGTTTTAGGAGGCGTCACTGTGGCACTCTATGCTGTACCTTATTAGTTAGATTGTGTATTATTGTCTAGTTGGGGTCCTATTTATTTTACTGTTACTTTAGAAGAGTTTTTCATGAGCCAGTCAGATGAATTTATTTTCATATCCCATATTCATATTAATTTGTATCACACTTGTAGGGTAAAACACAAACCTATTTAACAAATGCAATGCAAAGGATAAGCTTAATCTTCATTGAAGTCACAGATAACGCCATATCTAATATTTTAACAAATCATTTCCTTGTCACTAAAGCATTGCCTAGCTATTCATCGTCCTTAAATGCAGGCATTAAAGGTAAATGGTATCTCTTTGTTCAGAGAGAACGGATAATGTTTAGTGGTTGACAGTCGGCTCTCTTAACTCCATGCTGATGTTCTAGTGGAGAGTTGGCTCAGCTGTTTTCCTCCATCAGAAACACTTCAGAAAGCTGAGTGGGTCTGAAACCTGATGTGAACAGGTTTAACTGTTTATATTTTGGATTTTCACCAAAAACAGTTACCTAAACTGTTTTTTTTTTTATGTGGTTGAAATGTATTTTTTCAGGTTACACAGCTTTTGACTTTGGAAATATGTTATAAAAATATCTTTAGGCAAAGATCAACATTTGAGAAAAGTGCATTAGGCGTATTTGCTGTATCACAGAGTGAGACCATTTGATTTATACAGTATTAATCTCCTGTCTGTGCATTAAGTCAAGAAACACTCACCATCAGCTGTAAAGCTCAGTAACCAGTGACCAGATTGTTAAAGGGGACCTATTATGTAAAATCCACTTTTTCATGTCTTTTACTTTTACTCAACATCAACATGTGTCCCCTCTCTGTAAAGAGATTCTGAAAGTTTCACGAAAAAAGAGTCTCTCTCTTTTTGTCCTGATCCATTTATATAAAAACCTGTCTGAAAATGAGCTGATCAGATTTTGGTAACTTTATGATGTCATAACGATTTTTTGGCTTGTGTAACCATTAAGTGGTGCAGGGATGACTTATTTACCCGGAAGTAAGCCGCTGGTTCCCTCGACAGAAAGCAATGCGATTTCTCCATAGGATTTTGGAAAATAGCTGGAAATAAGGTCTGTGGAAAACGAACCTGTTTGATAAATGCATGTTTTGTTCAGCCAGATAATCTCCACATGTCTACCCTACTTTTATAATTTTCGAATCATAACAAAAGCAAAATGCTAACGTTATGCTATAAACGAACTACAGCAGGGTCGCACAACTTCAACGTCACGCCAACTTAAGATCCATATTCAAAAATACAGATTCTAAATGGAACAAGTTGAAGCGTTTGTTTGAACACTTTGCAGGAGGCAGGGACTTGCTTTCAAGCAGAACAGGGCAAACGAACTTAGAGGAGTGTTTACGTGTTCGGCGTAATGACGCACAACGGCCTGGACAACTTCTGTAGTCCTATTCAGCCACTTGTTAACAACCATCGTTCTTCAGACACGTCAACTCTTCAGAAATCACCAGTGGGGTCACTGCTGATGGATTTAATGTCGCAGAACAAAACGTGATCCGTCTCTTAAATGTGTCTCAACCACAGACCTTATTTCCAGCTATTTTCCAAAATCCTATGGAGAAATCCCATTGGCTCTGAGACGAGGGAACAGGAAGTGGAGAAATGCTAACTCACTTCTGGGTTTTAGGACTCGTCACTGCACCACTCTATTAGCCAATACCCCCCCCCCCCCCCCCCCCCTTATCACCTGAATCTCCTACTAGAGCACCATTGAGTTATTTCTAACCAAATGTCTCTCAGAGGGGCGTGGGGAGGGGCTCCTTATTTTCATCTGAAGTAACAGACAGAGAATCAGCACTTTGGAAACAGGGCTGAAACAGAGGGGATTATGGGATGCTGCAATGATCTGTTTGATATTCAGAGCCAAACACTTCAGAGACATGTTTTGTATATATCTGAGAACTATTATATATGGATGGAAAACAGTATAATAGGGGACCGTCTAATCATTTATTTTTATTTTTTTTTTCAAATCCAAGACTTTATTTAATTTATTTTTACTGCTCAAAAGACCAAAAAATAAGTTAATGTTTGGCCTTTATGCTTCAAAACTGTCTTAAACTTGCTGATGAATTTTTGTTGAATTTCTATGAGTTATTCAAACAAATGTCTGGGTGTTATC